CCCCCCGGGTGTAGCGCCTGGTGGGTCATTGAAGGCCAAGTAACCTTGACGATCCGAAACCGGCGCGGCCGACCACCCAAACAAGCCAAAGCCATTTTCCTTGCTGACTCAGAGGATGTCATCATCTGTCGTCTGTGCAATAGGCTCTCTAAACAAGGGGGGTTGACGTTTGCTTGGAACATGTGTCGAAAACCGAAGGGTTTTTGAGGTGTCTGGCTGATCACCATCGATGCATGACACATTGGACAGAACCAGGACCCGGATTGCAAACTATACAGTTTGAGCCTCAACATCAGGGCTGGTGGGCTGGTGCCAGTGGAAGTTTATGGAAAAAACACAGCATGCAGTTGAAGCTTGCTTGAGTATGGCTTTCCGATTTAAGGCAGCTCTGGAAAGCACCGGTGACCATCGATGGGACTGGAAGATTCACCAATTGTGACCCTTCCAACATCTGAACCAACCCAAAGGTTTTCATTGGATGGAACTTCCCATGTTCCATATGGAACTTCCCATGGGTCAATCTTCCACTATCACCCCAACATCCACTATCACCCCACAGGTCAGTGAGTCAGTTTGACCTGATCTTACTGGAGTTGGTCATCCTAAAACAGTATACCAGGACCCTCCGACCTTCGGGGTGTCCTGGCTGGACTACCCCACACTACCGGCCGTTCGGCTTCCAAACAGGGCACCCCGACAGGAGGGTCCTGGTATGCTCCACTCATATTCCAATCATCTCAAGGCTTTGCGGATCGGACCTACCGGTCGGCTCCGGCTCCGCTGTCGCGCTGCCAGGTCGCAGTCTTTCCAGCCCTGAAACTGCCAGCTCTTGGCTCGCCAGCCCGGCAGCGCGGGCCCCCAGGATCCGTGCGGGGCGCGCGCCGCCGCGAGCCGGCCCGGTCGCATGGCGTGGACCGGTCGACTGCGAGGCGTAGCGGCCGGGTTGGGGCGCGGTTGGTGAGGCGTGCGTGAGTTTTGGTGGAAGGAGTCGAAGGAGCGTTCCGTGAGGGTCTTCTTTTGAGAGGGTCTTTTGAATGGGCTTTTCACCAAAAGCTGGATGGGATGTGCACCTTGAGTCTCCAAAGACGACGCCTTTTGGACGCAAAAAGACGCGTTTTGGACGCCGAAAAAGTGTCTCAGGACACTGTCTAAGGAGGATCTGACAGGGCACAAACAAAAAAGGAACATTTCGTGGCATATGCAAAAAAGAGTGCTTTCTTTCAAAAACATCTTTTTTAAAAGGGTCATTGGAGACACAAGGTAGGTACTTGAGGGCCCAGCTCGCGGCTGGAGAGGTATAGAAAATACTTGGAAGATCTGAGGAAGCCTTGGAACTCCGTGCAAAGCGGCTTATCCTCTTGGTTGATGTTCTTTTCGCTTGTGAGCCTGGGTCTGTACGTGCGGTGGAACCGGTCGTTCTTCATATTCTAGAAGATGTCAGGATCCAAAAAGCTACGGGGCACATGCAAGTTGTTCATAACTGAACGGCAGCGAAAGTCAATACCAACATCAGCACCGAATTAGATGGATCTCTGCCCTTCCAACTCACATGCCACACAGGGTGCTGACCGACTCCATGATGCTTTTCTTTCCATGTTTTTTTGTCGAAATCTGTTGACTTTTCAACCAACCTGTGCCACTCCCCATTTGATTCGCGTCCGAGGAAGCCCGTCCAACAGGACTTCATTCGTCCGAGGAGCCGCCCGAAACCTGCCTCGAACTCTTTCAGCTTGGCTCGGACCTGGTGTGGTTGAGGCGCGTGCGGAACCGCGCACGGTTCAGGTGGGGGATGCTGGGGGGGTTGCAGTCATGAAACATTTTACCTAGCACTTCCTGTCTGGGTGCCCTGTCTGGAAGCCTATAAGTAGGGTAGTCTAGCCAGGACACCCATTGGATGATCCTGGTATATAACATGCAGAAAAGAACTTGGAGCTGGACAGGGTCTTGGAATGTCTTGGAGAGCTCCCTTCATCAGGCTCTATCTTTGCTGCCAGGGTGTGTAGCAGCCTGCCATTGCTAACCTCTTCCGGACGAACGGTCAATACACGAAGGAATGCACTCTTTGTCTTGTTGATTCCCTTCTGCGGGAAGGGAGTACCATTGCAACCGAGCTCACTAAGAAAGACTCGAAAACAAGATCATGAAAAAAATCATTTAAGCTGGCCCCACTTTGATGGGAACATCTACAGATCTACAGAACACCCATGGTGTGGGAGAGTGAAAACGTGCGAAAATAGTCCTTTCCTTTCATGTGTGTTTTCTACCCAAGAACTTGGACGTGCTTAACTTATGGTGCTTCATGCTTCACTTGATGATTCATTCCTTCACGCACTTCCAAACCATCAATATCCGTCCAGACCTGCAAGGGCTACTAATACTAGAAACAAGGGCATCACTACTAGTGACAAAGGGCATATACCTAGTGGCAACCCTAGGGCTCCAACATGCTCCAACCATACGTATCCTCAGAAGGTGGTTAGACCCGCCTGGCACCCACCCCAACCATCTTCGAAACGGAGGTGGTTGGAGCCCGACCGAGGTCGCGCCTCGACAGCCAAGCCTTTCAGGCGCAAAGCCTGCAGGTCGTGCCCCAGCTGGGGATGTGGGGTCCTGTCCTACCACCTGAGCTCTGCAAAATTTATTAAACCCCTACCTGCAGTCACAAAGGGGTGCTTAATGGAGGTTAGGGATGCCCATTATCCTTTGTGACTAAAAAACCACTCCTTTGTGACTCCTGGTATGTTGCGTATGTTGCATAACTTTCTTAAAATCCTGCTTACGCTCCTACAGGCCCTGTGCTGCCCCCCAAACAGTCCATGAAACTGACCCAGTAAACCAGCAATGACGGATGATGATGGGGCCTGGTTGCAGGCCTTTCCATCTATATAAAAGAAGTGATGTTCTTGCTTACCAACGGTAATGGGACAAGCCCGTTGTGTGTATATTATTAAAAGGGGACCCTTGGCTGGGTAGGCTGGTCTCCTTCCCAAACCTTCCCGTGGTCCCCAACCCCAAGTGGTTTTCAGAGATGGCACAATCTCAAAAAGGTGGTCTCTATGCCCCCCCAAGCAATAGACACGTAGGGGATTGTGCCGTCTACTCTCAAATCACCAGCACCAGCAATCAGCACCAGCACCCAAAAGGGGTAATTCATGGGCGCCCCTTAATCAGCATCTTTTCGAGGCTGTTGAGGACGAGGATAGGGGCTGACACCTGTCAGATCTCACAGCCCTGGTAGTAGGTTCAGAGGGGCCCTGGAGAACCAGGGCAAAAGCGTGGACCTTAGTCCACCTACTCTTTCAACATGAGAACCATCGATCTACCAGGGCCCCGAAATCTGAGAGCTGTCAGCCCCTCTCCGAGATGATTCGACAGGAGTGACTGGAGCATCTCTCACATGACGGGCAGCATCTCTCACACCATGTGTGAACTCGTCATAACCACGAGCTCGCTGGAATCGAGATGAGTCGATGAGGCTTGCCCAGCTCGGAACAAAAGGCACTTCCCAGCGTGAACAGGGCTTAGTGGGCTTGGCATCAAAGTCCTACAGGCGTTTCAACCGGACTTGCATAGCCTCAGACAAAACATGTGTGGACAAAATATATGCACTCGCCTGTGTACAATCTGTCGGGGGCGGCTAGTTAATTCTCAGACTACTATTATGTGAGATCATGTGAGATCTGTCATCAAATGATCAGAAAATCTGTCAATCAAAGGGGTGACTGGGACGGACCAAAGTGATGAATTCACCCAGTCCAAGGGGATTTTTCGATCTCTTTCGTGAGTTAGGCACCTGATCTGATGGGCAACACGTTCAGCAACACACACAGGACAGCCTGGACAGCAACACCCCGGCCTTTTCTCAACTCTTTACTGACCTGCGAATCGTTGACACTTATGGTCGTCATTGCTGCTGGATGTGTTGTACATTCAGCTGCGCAGAAACTCTCCTTCTGCTTCAAGTGTAGTCACTGTAGTGGGTTAAGGCTTTAGGAGTCACTGAAGAATCCAAGTCGATGCTGCAGGATGCTGCAGGGGGTTCCATGGATTCATGATCTCATGACTCATGTCCTTCTTATCTTTCCCCCGAGGCTATTCAGGAGTCTTACTCAATTAAGGTGTGGGTCTATCCTAATACCTGTAACGGTGGATGATGATGGTTAGTAAAGGCCTTGTTCAAAAAATCGTGATTTAATTGTTACTGACTGTTACAGGAATTAGGACAAACCCACATTAATGTCCTATGCAATATGCTCCATGTCACGAAACATGGTGTCGCGGAAAACCACACGTATACCTGTACTTAGGTCTTCAGGGAACTCATGGGTCATCCGAACGAAAGGGGCCATGATGGGCCCAACACTCCATGGGACTGACAGACGGACTGCCGAGTGGCACGGCCAGGGGGGTGGTGCCAGGGATATCTTTCTGGGGCGGCAGTCCGTCGCAGTCCCAGACAGGTCGTGTCTGGTGATGATTTCAGTCCCTCCAGTCGCACCGAACTCATTTCGTGTCGGTGGGACTGAGGTCTCCTGGAGCCCGATGCGGTGTACTCCACCGAGAAGGTCCGACCTTGCCGGTCCACCCGTCAAGTGGCGGCGTCCAGCGACCCCCCGTCAGAGCGACCCCTGTCAGACTAGCCCTGAGACTACTAAGCCCAAGGCCACAACAGTTGGGAGGCGGGAGGTCGTTTGCCCACCCGACTTCACCGACTCAGGTCATGTGGATGAGAAAGGACTGCCTCTGAGAGAAGACAGTGCTGTGCTGGTGCTTGTAACGTGGACCCACGGATCCATCGCTTTGTATTCACCAGTGGAAGTGGACCACCTTTCACCCAAATGATCAAGATCTAATGCCAAGAATCACGCAACTTGGCCAAGTTGTGAAGATGAAGCATCATTTAAACATTCTGCCAACATTCTAGAACAACTGGACCACCCCAAAAACAAGCATCCAAATCTGCAGCTTGTGGAATGATTCTCACGCATGTCCATCGCTGCTCAGCTTCGGCCGCTCAGCTGCTGCTCGGGGCACCTGTGCACGTGACGCAGGGCGCCCCCCCAGTGGTGCGCTTGGGGCTCCTTCGCCGGAACCGTGAAGGACGAAACGGACTGGCCATGCGAAGACCGACAGCGTGGCGCGATGCGAATCATGAGGCTTCCACGGGACAACTCGAAACAGAATTCGAGGAAGCATCGACGTTTTCCAAGCCACAGTGATAACGGATAACGCTGGTCCCTCATGGAATCTTTGATACAGAAAGAGAACATTCAAAGGTTGAAAGGCTCTGCTCTGATGGAAAATGTGAATGAAAATGACTTGATCCGTCAGCCATCCACCCAAAGAAAAATCTGGCAGGGCAATCATCAAAACGTTAACTAACAAGACACATCCACCAGCCAAAAAAAGAGCATCTCCCCACTCTCCCCCACATAACTAACCATCCTGGGACCATCCTGCACCCAAAGAACAAAACACCGTCCACCCTCTCCCCAGCATCCCAACACACAGAAACGGGGTGGGTGGGGCGTCGGTCGCGCCCGTCCCACCTCCAGTGATCTCGTACCGCAGAGGTGACCACCTCAGGGATCGCCGTCGACGGGTTACGCTGTGCACTTCGCGGCGGTACCGTTCGGCCAGGAAGTTCTGCGCGGAGGGGACGGTTCCAATGGGAGCCTAGAGAGGTTGAGAGACCAGAACTAGGACCCTGGTCTGTGGTACATATGGGATGGGCGACAAAGGGCTGTTCCACCTCTCTAGGAGGGAGGGAAGGAAAATGGATACGCAAGGGGGAACTGTGATGTGGGCGTCACGATGTGCGTTGCATTTTTGAGCATTTGACGCATTATTACAGGTTCTTTCATGTGATTTCTGAAAATGACTATATATGACTTCATCATATGTGACATGTAGCTTCTGAGAAGCTCGGATTCCAAGTCACCCAAATCACTCGTGAAACTTTTTTGTGTCAAATGGCCTTCGCGTTCCCAGCACCGGAGCTGGCAGCGCTGGTCCAACTCCGGCGCCAGTATAGTGCTGTAAAAAAGGGCAAGCACATTGGGATCCCTCTCTCCGCGTCAGGCTGGCAGTCACAAACAAAGCTTGTGACTGTACGTTGCCAAATTGTTGCATACCTCTTTGACAGCTACCTTGATACCATGTAACACCCATGAATCTAGCAGCGTTTAACATAACTGAAATCTGAATGGTAAGGACTAAGGGACCAGGGAATGGATCCTGAGGTAGCTACAGGGGTGGTTCATTCCCTCATTCCCTACAAGTCGCATGAGTCTGAAATTGGCGGTACCAAACGCCATACCACAGCTATCCACAGCTCATCACTGAGCCCAACTCGTCTTCCGAGCCACACAAGCGGCCAAAATGAGCACCGTCAAGGCGCAAGAGATCAAGGGCTCAATCACCTCAGGCCGCGCGAGCTGCAGCCACGATTCCAGTGATCTATCCCCATAGGGTCCAGGTACCTCCTTTTCGGATGGCCGAACGGAGGTGAGTTCGTACTTCCTGAGAATGGTCGTTGCCGGGGGGTCTGGCAGGACATCCGAGCAACGGATCGTCCTGGACCGGATCCACGCGACCCGCCGATCCGGTCCGTCTCGACAGCCGACCGCGGCGGAGAAACGACCTGCGACGTGGACACAGGGGCTTCAAGCCGCAGTGGACACAGGGGCGGGCGAGCGAACGAACTGGGCGCCTCCAATGAATGCCAAAAAAGGCCCAACCATTTAGGGGGAATCGAAGTGAAGGGGAACCCGATGAAATGATCATGATATGTATGTGTAGATGCGCGGTTCGGCTTCCGTTTGACCATTCAAAGAGTTCGGTTGACCTGGCTTTTTGTAGTGTAAAATCCTTAGCAAAACAGCTGGTGGTTCGGGAATCAGGCCATGAAAACAATGGCTGCTGGAAGCTTACAGGGTATATCACGCTGAACCAAATGAAGCGGGGTGTTTCATGGTCTCGCTTCGTAGCGATTGCAATTGCTTCACCTCTTCCACGGCAGCATCGCAAAGAGTCTAAGGGTCAATGGCTTTCATCCTTCCGCCAAGGCACCAGCAAATCCTGGAGCAACATCTGGAGGCCAAAGATGCAAAGGATCACGCCGATCCCATAATGCAGCAGCGGGAAGCAGGATAACATCTCCTTGGAGGCGCTTCCGCTTCCCGAGCGACCAAAGAATCTCTCCAGAAGACGGATTCAGCAAGTCGTGGATGAAAAACACCCCGTTGCCATCACAAAGATCAGTGGCTTCAGGCCCCCGACCACTGGATGGGTCTCTTGATGTTTGTTGGGTCTCTTGATGTCTTTTTGTCTCCAGGAAACATCGGTTTTGTTTTTAGTCACTGGATACCTCTGTTGGCTGCTTCCACCCTAGACCCAAAAGTGGCTTCGCAAGGGCCAAACAGGGCCCCAAACAGCCTCGAGGCGGCCAACGATTTTCTTGCACCTTTCACCTACTCAAGTTGCACCCCTAACCTGAGAGGTCTCGACCTCCAGGTTAGGGCCCAATCCATGCAGAACTTGGCCCACTTAAGTTGGCGATCACCAAGGATCCTGACTCAAAGCGAAGAGTTCCGGGATCATCAACGCGGCCAGTGCGGAGGAACTGAAGCCTTGCGATCATCCATTGCGGCCGGGCGGGTTGTTTGGGGTGCCTGGGGTTGATGTGACCGTCGCCCAAAACGAACCGAAAATGGGTGCGGAGCAAATGGGTCAACGGTGCCGGCACCTTAGACCCATGGGCTTTTTGGAGCGTTCCAGGTTCTATCGGGTTTAACACCCAGTCAAATCAGCTGTGTCGAGAGATTGTTGAGTTGCTGGAAGTACGATGCTCGAGGTTCCATTCAAACATGTGGAAGGATCATGGGTTGATCCACACCACTTATTGGTGGAACCATGTGGAGCTATGTGGAACCAACCTGTGCACCTGGAAACCCAGGCTCGTGCGTTCCACATGTCCAACGTGCGGAAGGTCCGGAAGTGGACGGATCCAACCTCGTCTGAAAGGCTCCGCCAGGCCCCGCGGTGCGACACGCGGACGCGACACGCGGACGCGACACGCGGACAGTGGTGCCTACGTAGGTGTTGGGGATTTGTTCGATCTTGGTCAACACCACGTCGATGTCGAGGAAGAAATCCGCGAGCAAAAGCACGCAAGTGACGACGTCCAGAATCCTGGGCAAGCTCTGCGCGAAAAATGCGACAAAAATCATCATCCTCCCAAGTAGCCACAACAACCTGGACACCAAAATGTATTTGGTGCTTGTTCCGACTCGGTCCAATCGTTCGATTTCATGGAATAAATCACAACATCGTTCCGAACCCCACCCCAAGATGTCTTGGAAAAAAAATGGAGGTCCAAAGCTTGGGGGCAACTTGTGCCAATCCAAGGGGTCCAAAGTGACCCCTGGATAAGGCCATAGGACTCGAATATTCCTGTGGTACCTCATAAACGGAAAACATGAAAATCAAAACGAACACAAATGACAAAAACAAATTTTAAAAACAGACCCAAAAAGACACCCGTCCACTGTCCAGCCTTTCTGTATTTGTCAAGTCTTTTCCACGTGGTACACGGCACGTGGCACAAGAAAAGATGTCCAAGGATCGGCACCCTGATCTCCTTCTCGCGCAGCACCAGGAATCCTCACAAAGACCAACATGCGCGGGCCCCCAAGAAAGGGTTAAAGGTTGTACACTGACCAAGGAGGAGGTTGAGTGACCTGACCAAGGATCCATCATCTGGGGTACTGGGAGAGTCGAACTACTGGGATTCCGAAGAAGCTCTGGTAAGTGCATGTATTCATTCAGTGCGTTTAAAGTTGTGACTGTGACACACCCCATGACACGCCAACGCGCCGGTGGACCCAAGAGCGTCGCGCGAGGCGCCCTCGAGCGCGTCGCGCGAGGCGTCCTCGCGCGCGCCGGTCCTGAGTCACAATGCCCATCCATGTCGAGGCGGCTGCCCATGACATTCCTGGTGGCCCGAAGGGTTGACCCAGTCCGGACCAGTCTCGTCGTATCCAGTGGAACCCGGTCGGTTGGGGATCCTTCGACGGTAGCCGTAGCTTCTCAGGTAGGGTGATGTGTTCGAAACTCTGTACGGGGTGGGATGGGTCGGGTCCCAGGTACGAGAGGGCAACACTACCCAAACGCGACCTGTCTCGGACTGCCAGTCCGGACTGCCGAGTGGCACGGCCAGGGGTGGTAGACCTGGGGTCAATGGGGCGGCAGTCCTATGGCAGTCCCATGGAGTGTCTGGGCTATGCAACACTGAGCAAGCAAAACATAAGACGTCGGACTGGACCTCGGGGCGTGGACCTCGCACGCTCAATCTGCTTGCCTCTTCCCAATGAGGGGCTCATGCCATTGCCCCATCAAAGCGGCGGGGCCAGTGTTGGGTGCAGCTGGGGTTACCTCATTCTAAGAACTAAGGCATGTGTGTGTGTGTGTGTTGAATTGAGTGCAATTAACCTCCTTTAAATGCACTCCTTGAAACAAGTGAAAAAACCACCTGTTTGTACAGGAAAATGGTATACCTCCTTTCGGGCCATGCCACCCACTTCCATGATTATTTCACTTTGGGTGACAAACTGCTGGCATGTTGTCTTGAGCAGACCTTAGGATTGTCACGCAATATTCTAAATAAACAATTGCTCCAAGTAGTAGGTTGTAACGTGGTCATCCCCAAACTATTAAGGAAATGGAGCCATATTGGGACTAGTTACAATAAATAGCTCCATAATTATGGTTTGTGTAAAGGAACACCTGTGGTCAGCCAAGTCTAGTCACCGACCACCCCAACTCCTGGACATGGCCATCTATCAACTGCCCCGCACCTGAGCATATCCGCAGCTGGGCTGGAGGGAGCTTCAGAGGAGTCTGATGCAGCGCCTGCACGTGACGAGCATGCGACCAACGACCGAACCGCCGGTGGGCAACGACCGAACCACGAAGGTTCGGACCTAATAAACCCGTGTACCCAGCCGGAGAAAAGGGGATCTCCGTGACAAAAACTCAACTCACACCCATGTGGAAATGGCTATTCTTGAAGGACTTCTACACGACCTGGACAAAAGCGATTGCAACATAAAAGGGACCATTTTCAGGCGTGGAATTTCCTCCGCCACCCGCGTTGTCAGTCAGTCAAGGAGTCGACAATAGTCGAAATATAGCCAAGATCAGCCTGAATCAGGAGCACAGATAGGAAAGGACTACGGCTGGGAGCACAACTACGGCTGATCTTTAGCAGGACTACGGCCGAAAGGAGCGTGATAGTCTGGAGCTTTCGGACTACGGCTGGGAATGATCAGCACAGACTACCCGTCGACACGCAGCGCCGCCACATGCAGCGCCGGTGATCGGATAGCGGTTCCCAGGCATCGCAGTTCCCACGAGAGCTCGCTGGTAACCAGTGGTTCCAGCTCGACCGAAGGAGGGCCTATGGTTCCTTATATGGTTTGCCTGCGATCCACTGGGTCATGACATGGCAAGAAAGACATCACCGCTTGAAACAACATGGAGATCACAGGAACACGCGAGTCACAAGCGTGATCCCCTGCGTGTTGTTGATCCTGTGTTTGTGGCTGGCTCTTTGAAGTGTCATTCTTGCCGCTGCTTGGCAAATTGCGGTATAGTGGCTATAATATACATCCCAGCACCTTCCTTACGGGGTCACCTGGCTGAAAGCCACTGCACTACTTATGGATCTCCAGACAGGGCACCCCGACGCTCCCGGTCTGTTCTTCTTAAGGTCGGCTTCCTTCGGCACTGCAACCCCCCCCCCACCATCCCACCCAGCCCGGCCACTCGGCGTGTCACGTGGCGCCGCAGCTGCGGATCCACCCGGGACGGGTGAGCCGGCGGGTGATCCAGCCGTCTCGTGGCCCAGCACTGAGACACCCAAGCTCAGGAGCCACAGGCCTTGGCTTCCATTCGGATGAAGCACTGACTGGGCTCAGTTCTGGCTCAGTTCTGAACCGGCATCTGGGCATCAATCCTCCATTCAGATGACAAGCACATCGCTTAAACAATATCTCGAAAGGTGCTGAAGTCTTCCACTTAAGGAACTGCATAGGATTGAATGGAAAGACTTGCTTTTTGGAATGGATGAAAAGATATGAAAAAGCAACTGGCCCGAACGCTCCTGGGACCTGAGCCAAGATACTACATGTTGCTTCGGTTCCAAACAAAACCCCCCAACAAAAAAAACCTAGTTGCGAGGGTCAGCCTTTGGGTTGTCTTTGGGTCACCAAAACAACACCGACCAAATGACTCCAAGTCCAGATCCAATGACTCGACCCAAATATTCCGACGTAAAAAACACACCGTCCAATTCCGTCTGAAGAATTGGGTCAACAAACCGCCATGTGGGCACCCACAAAACCGCACCCTACACCTCCAAGTACCTTCTGAGAAAGTGTTTGGGGTCACTGCCTCAAGGCTCCACATAGTACTTGGAGCTATAGCCAAGGGGTTGGAGAACTCCCTGGGCCACTAGGAGTTCCGGCTCGGAAATTGCGAATACCCCGACCCGAGCCGTCGCTCCTTCCACCTCCTGAGATCACCCACCCGCCCATCAGGAAAAACAGGGATGAACTCGATGAACTCGTTTGCCAAGATGCCCAGAAGGTATGGCAAAAAGATCCAAGACCTCAACCACTCGGCGAGGCCCATGTAGAAGACCACATCGAAGAAAATCCTCGGAGTGGTGTGTAGCGGCCACGGCGGGGGTCTGTAGCGTCGGCGTCGCTCGTGCACGAACACAAACATCCGTGACGTTGGTCAGCGGCTGGTGTGAAATGAATATTTTTGACATCTGACTGCACCACGGATTTCGGATGTCCATCAATAGCCCATTAGAGGTCAAAGCGTGTCCATTAACCACCCCTTCCGTGGTGCAGGTCTGACTGCATCTTGCATGCTTGTGGATTGATCTTGGGCCAAAAGTTGGAAGTCCCAAAGGAACATTCTTCTGGGTCTTCGAAAAGCTCTTCCACTTGAACCACCAAGACAGAAGGAAGCTACCCCATGGTATTGTGCAAACCTACTATGAGTTCCAGTGCTTGTTCCATTGATGCGCTGCTGCATTTTCACCATCGTAGATGCGGCTGGAACAGGGGGATCCACCTTCACGAGCTCACCATCCTCACCAAAAAGCACAACCGTTTTCCGTTTTCCATTGATACCTTTGATTCCAGCAGAGGTTGAAGAACCCTATAGGCCATCCTATGGGTCTCCCAGTAGGGTCCCTATAAGGTCACTTAACCTCTCTTGGTTTCCTCAAAGTCCAAAAATTTGATTCATTGATTCCATATGATTCCATCGATCACCCTATCATCCTCACTGTTCCCCCCGCCGAGCAGCACCTGGTTCAGTCGTCTCACCCACCCCCCTGCGCCTGATGGCCGTCACCACCGGCCCCGTTGTGTCGCCCAAGCGGCTGGGCCCAGGCCACCAGAACCAAACAGCGGGAGACCTGCTTGGGCGAGGCCCAGAAGGCTTCGCCGATGCCGTGGAAGACAAAGACGTTCTCCACCAAGAAGATCAGCTCTAAGAAGTACCTTATAGAAGTACATGAAGAAAAGCTGGATGGTGAAAGAAGTTGAAGAAGCCTTTGTGCTTTTATCCCCATATATAGGTGGATTGAGAGCAGATTGCGAGCAATGGATTTCTAACAGACGCCATAGTAGCCCCAAATTCGCAAAGGGTTTGGGAGTCGAGGAGGGCCTAACACAGGTTACTAAGTGAATGCACCATCCTTTGAAACACACTGCTTCGACCATGCAGGAGAGTGACCCTGCCAGCCAGTTCGATCCATGGTGAGATCCCATGTGAAGGAAAATCACCAAAGCATAGACCGCGCCCAAAGCCAACCAGCCTGAGTGGACGAGATAGGACGAGAGGGCAGTCATCAGGCAAAGTCTGCACTGCACAAAACGGATCCCTAGGGCTCCAGTCGGACCTTCTTAGAAGGTGGGACTGGGGTGGGTTTAGAGGGTCCAAATACCTTCTAAGGAGGTACTTGGAGCCCTAGGGGATATGTGTTTTTGTCCTGTGGTAGATGTACTGTAGTTTTCAATTGCGTCGCGTCTGAGGCGGGTATGGTAAGTGGCACTGTAAGTGGCCTCAACCCGATCAGTAGCCCTTTCAAGCCACTGTGGCCACTGCGGCCGTACAGAGAATACAGAATGCTAGTACTGTTCAATGCTTGCGGGAACCCTTGGCGCAGCTTTGAGGGGTACCAGGATTTTTGAAGGGGTGCCCAATGGAAGCCTATAGGTAGTGTGGGGTAGTCCATTGGACACCCCTTGGAGGGTCCAGGTATAGATACTGAATCACAAAACTTAAGCTGTATTTAGGGGCTGCGCGTCGTCAGGGGCCGCAGGGGCCGTCAGTTCTACATCCTTCAAGCTCTGCATTTCCAGCATCATGTGGCAAACAAAGATGGAAACTGCCCCATGTGTTGGGAAGATTAGCTTCCCCTCGAAAAACATTCTTCAATTCCTGCACTTTGTGAAAGAAAGCCTTAGGCCTCCGGCTAATTACAGGCTTCACCGCATGATATTCGTAGCACATGCACCACGTCCTTGTTTTACACCAAGGACGGGGTGGCCAAGGAGCCCATGAGGGAGGCATGGGGTGAGGCAGGCGCCAAAAAGCGGCGATAGACGACGGCCACACAGGCCGCCACGAAGAATAAACACCTCGGGGCCGAGGGAAAATGATGTCCGTAATTGGTAAATTTTTAGAGGGACAAGTGCCAGGTACCATCTGGTTCTGCATTTGGGGGCGTCCCCACAAAAAATATCGAATGAAGGTGAGCGAAGACGGCAAAAGGGCCATGGAAAAATCTCTGACTCGCACTCTCGTTTTCGGGGAAGTCGAGGCGGACGCGAACCCCCCGCCCGGCAAGGCGTGGCAAATTCATGATGGGTGGAGAATCAATGGTCCGTCTGATCAACGACGCTAACTACGCATGCTGCTCTCCAGCAGCTTATTGTCACCTGTTCACCTGATCAGTCAGTAGCGAGCTGATGAGAGCTCTAGGCTTTTGCTGACTAAGAAGTTCCCTAGGTGTTCAACGAGGTAGCTACCAGTGCCCGCAAAATCCACAGCACCAGTTCAGCTGTCAAGGAGCATTTGATAAGCATGCACATCTCTACCAAGTTTGACACCACGAAAATGCCTAGCCTTTGGTCCTTTGGTGTCCGGTTCCCTTCCGCTCAGTTCCTGCTTAGGCGCCAATCAAAAATCATCGCGGAGTTGAAGAAGTGGTGCACCTCATGATGGCGAATGAAACCAACTTGGGAGGCTCCCATAATTAATGCACTTCCATTGGCTATATCCGATTAGTGGATTGTGACGATGAGTTAAAGGCCTTTGATCTAACCACTGCACAGCAGACCTTCTAGGGTGGGAGGGATTATTGGTTGGACCCCCCCCTGGCACCCACCCCAACCACCGAACCTGAGGATGTGGGCCAGGAGCCCAACGGGATCAATCCTGTGTCGCCTTGTTTTCTGCCGTGACTGACAATATCCAAGAGCGTGGAAGGCCTGGAGGGGACATACAACAAAGAATCTGGAACCCTGCCAAGAAAAGAGGCGGAGACATGCGGAGAAGACGCTGCACAATTCTAAATTCAAAAGACTTAATACCTACTATCACCAACCAGGTCAGGTGGTTTAAAGAGCCCCGCATCCCACGTATATATGTCCCATCCAATTTGTGCAACTGGACTCACCATACCCCAATGCTCTCCATGTATGGCATAGATGCCTACATTGACCCCAGGTCTACCACCCCTGGCCGTTTCTCGGCAGTCCTGCAGTCCCATGGGTCGTGTCTCACCCTCCTCAGCCCTCCTCCACCCCTCAGACCGCAGCACTCCAGCGGGGCCGAAGCGTTCCAAGGAGACACTACTGAACTTTCCCATGGCGCTCACCAAAGTCCTTCCAGAGGTGGGTTGAAGAACCCGACTCTTCGACTATCCCAGGAACCGGTACCCCAGTATCCGAAAAGGAACCCTAGTTCGACTATCCCAGTTCGGTACCCCAGTTGGGTCCTATTTCACTGGCTACCTCTCTTGGTTCTCACGTGGAAGAGGGACATTTCAGATCCAACTGGACCGTTCCGACGTCGGAAAAGGCGTGGACGCCGAGAACCGGGCCGACGGCCGACTGGGCCGGGCCGCGGGCCGACTGGGAGGTCTCACTACTCAAATGCCAAGGCAAATGCCATGTCCATCAACCCTCCAACACCATGATGGAGACATCGAAAAGAACGCCATCTTGGGCCATATGCATGCATCAAGTCCAGTTTCCCCTGCCTCGTCTCTGTGGCGAATAGCTTGGGGACGTCCAGCACATGTGGGGCTTCATGGTAATGACTAGGCCTCAGAGTTGTATCACGTATGCCGGGATTCGTCAAAGTGAGCAGGTCAGTTCCACCCCGCCGAGAAAAAAAACAACTCGATACTTACCCCAGCACTTGTTGGATGATGTCTCATGCACATTGAACATGCGGAGACTGAATCTTAGGAGTCGGTACATGTCCGCTGGCGCTGCTGGCGTGGGTCCAACTTCACATTCTACGCCCGCCCTCAGAACTTCTATCCACCAATTATTGAGGCAAAACTCGGAGACCCAAACTATGTTAGGTTGACCTTTTCAGTCTATTCTGATCATGTGACAGGGGTGGGTCGTTTCCCGGGTCCGCTGGCGTTTCCACCCAATGCAGCCACCCTTGCAGCCAGCCGGGAAAGTCCGACCCGAGTGCCGGTGACCTCCCGAACAGAAAAAATAGCCAAATGCTCCATGGGACTGCCATATATGGCTACATTGACCCCCCTGGCACCACCCCTGGCCTGATCGGCAGTCCTATGGCAGTCCCATGGAGAGTCTGGGATAGCTACTCTCCCTGGAACTCACATGGGCCAACGTGGATGGCCTGGCCCCGAGTTCGGAAGACCATGAACATCCACGAACCAAGCAGGTGGTGAACTCCACTTCCACCATGCGAAGTTCGGAGTTTTTTTCCCCAAGGAAGGCCTCCTTCTAGTTTTCCATGTCTTTGCAGCACAGGTGTGGCTTAATGTGTTTGATCCATCTGTACTGGCTGTGTGGCTTGGAACGGCCGGCCCTGCGTCTTTACAACCCCGTTTCCCTCTTCTTGTCGGGGCTCCAGTCGTAACTCCGGAGAGTGTATGACTGGACCCCTCCAAGCCACCCCAAACACATTCTCAGAAGGTGCTTGGAACCCTAGGGTTGGTTGGTAGCCTAGTGCTTGATCTGCCAAGTAACTTCACCTGCGCCCCAGGCTTCTGTAGCAGTAGCGGGGCCTTGGATGCACTCTTGGCAAGTCTGTGACAAAGGAGCACGCACAGGTCTTATGATGTGTCTTTCCAATCGATTCATACATACGTTGCGGGTGTTAAATCATTATGTAAGTTGAGGATTCCAAAATATTCCAAAGCCCTTTGACACTCCAGCGTTTCCTCTCGAATGGCAGCTGTCAAACTTTTGTCCGAACTATCGAAGTCTGAGATCGAAGTCTGTCAGAACACTCCAGGGTGCTGAATTCAAAGCTGTAGCATTCCGCGTGCAAGTGCCAGAGGAGCTCCCTGAATCACAGGGAGCGGCGCTGACCAGCGCGCAGAAGAAAAGCGGCCATAGGCCCATGCTCCATCAGATGCCACGAAGCATCGGCATCGACATTTCCCTCTGGAGCCCAGCGCCGGTAGGGACATGTTGGATCATGCGCCACCTCTTTGCGCAAAACATCGACATAGCCGTGCCCCTCTTCAGGGGCAAAAGGGTTTTGCCTATCCCATCACCTGTTCAATTTGTAGTGGGGGGTTCCCCACCTCCAAAAAATGTTTAAGTTATCCTACTTTTCTGGGTCAGGAAGCTTGCCATCTATATAGAAACCAATGACTTCCCCTCGACTCCTCTGAGGTCGACTTTTGAAATTGCACTCCTCTGAGCTCGGCTCCGACAACCTTCAGGTGAAACTAAACCCAGTGGATCGCAGGCAGCCACTATAAGGAACCAGGAGCCCTCATTCGGTCTGAGTCGGCTTGAGTCGAACCACTGGGACGACACCAGCGACATCGTGGGTTGATCGGAACGAAAAACAGGGACCCAAAGCAGTCGGAAGATGACCTCGAACTCGCCAACTCGGTCAGAACTGGTGTCGTCCCACCTACCAGGGGCCCTCAAAACCATGAAAAACAAAGGTTTTCACATACAAAAAACAGGCTTTTTGCTAGGGAAAACCAGGTTATTGATGGTTTGTGGGGCCCCTGGTACCAGGTGGTCCCAGGACCCTCAAATCCGCCAACTCCCCTCGACTCGGTCGATCGACCGGTCGAAGGCTCGTTGACCGCAGGCGGAACGACCCGCCACCCGCCACCCGCCACCCGCCCGCCTCTGCGTAGTCCTCGATCTCCGCCGCGGCTCCTGAGGAGATCGAGGTTCTTCAGCGACCCCAAAGGACTTCGGGCAGCCAAGCGATAGAAAACCAATCCAAAGGACATCTTGGGGGTTGTGCCATCTACTTCTTGAAACCACTGTAAGAAAATCACAGTGAAAATCACCTGCTAATTTACATCATGTATTATTGGCAACATGGATTGTACCTGGAATTGCTGTTCCCAAAGGCTCCATGTGTTTCTATATCTACCATTGATCCGGACGAAGCACCCCAATGTATGTACATATGGCCGGTGGCGGACGATGCTGTACATGGATCATACTTGCACTGCTGTTGTTCCAAAACATGGAAATTGGCACTGTGCCTCAACTGAGTCTGGAATCTTAGAAGACGCAACTAGCCTTCTTCCACCGAGCTAAGCCGTTGTGATTTGGTGTACTGCTGGCACTCTGCTCGAACAGAACAACTGTTTCCATCTGTTTCTATTTTTAGTGGGCGTCCCCCATCCCCAAAAGGGTTTTGCAGGTCATCCACGTACTTCCTGGGTAGGGGAGATGAGGGAGTACCATCAAACTCTGTATGAAAGCGCAACTCTCACCATCGCCGGAATATCTTGATCGTGTCCGATTGCGAAAAGCAGCTTGAATCTGCTGCTTCCCCCGTTCGCGTGTAAAAATTAATTTAATACCTTCACCGGGGACACACTTACTACCCGTACCCTGAATTGGCAGGCAAGTAGTTCTTCTGGTTGGTGGTTTCCACTCACATGACATATCAGTCAGTGGGTTTCACTCATGTGAGAAACCCACACCCCGTGTTGGTGTGAACTTTAAACTCAGTCACACCAACCCTGTGAACTCAGTCACACTCAGTCACACCAAAAGTATACAGGTTGAACTGTTGAACTGTTGAAACTGTTGAACTTTAAACTCAGTCACACTCAGTCACAGGTTGAACTGTTGAACTTTGAACAACATATCTGAAACCATTCACCCAGTCTACTACCCAGTCTACTACCCAGTCTGATATCTTCGACCCCGGAGAGCTGCGGCGCCAGGTCTTTCGGGTGCCCCGGACGTTTCCGGGCTTCGATGTCGAACAACTCTTCGAGCAAATGTCGCCTCAGCACACCGCTCGGACTGGAGCCCAGCGGTTTCGGACGTTTCGGACGAGTGGAGGACGGAGAGAAAAGGTCCGGATGGGTCGGCTTTCAATGGGCAACCAGGTTTAGGGATCCGTTGTCGTACCTTCTCCTCAGGTTCGGTACGACTGGACCCGACGTTTTGGCACCTACATAACAGGGTCGAACACATCACCGTACCTGAGAAGGTACGACCCTGGATCTGTAGGGAAGTGATTCCAGCAGCAACTCAAATCTCCAACACCAGCCAGGTAGATCATGGTCCACACAAGATCGGGAGATCATGGGAAATCAACTGGTTTACCCCTCAAAGTGGGGTGCTGCTGGTGGAAGGCTTTTGGTGTTTCTGTTGGATTCCCACCTAAGATCACCGAAGCGTGCCTCGCGGGGACCTCGCGCCTACGAGCCACCGTCGCTGCTGTGCCCCCGGCTTGCGCAACCAGTTCACGTAGGTGGGCATCCCTTCCTGCGTCTGGAGGTGGCGGGAAGAGTTCCCGTAATCTTTTTTCGGACTGGACGGCATAATTAATTTATCCCCAAAGTCGGTGGTGGTTTAGTGGACCCTAGCTAAAAAACCTGTTGGAGGCCTATGAACCTCTTGGGGTTTTTCAGTGCCAACCACTAAAACCACTGAAGGCTCTTTGGCGTAACCGGTCCGGGAGGCGAGTCGCTTCGCACCTGGAAGCTGCAAACAGCGGCCAATAGGAAGGCTTCCAACCATCTGAGCATCAAGCAAGTCTAATGTACATAAGGATCCAAAGAAGGAAGCTGACAAGGACTAATGCCTATGAACTGCACATGTCTGAAGGGGATTGGCCTTCATGAATGGACGGCAGAACTTCCCATGAACAAACATGGCCCTGGGCCGGCCCTAGGACTCCTCAGGGCCCTCCATGGCAGACGTGACTTATGCCTCCTTTCTCGTTGCTAGCTCGACGAGGTCGAAAACAGGTTATGTTATGTAACATGTGGATGACACCCGAGGGCGCCTGCTGGGATCATAACTTGACCCGAAAAAGGCACGAGATCGAGTTCTCACCGACCTGGTTACCCATCTCTTCCACAACCGAACTCACATGAATTGCTTGGCCCTTGGAGTTGCACACCAACTCATGCTCCGAGGAGTGTGTATGGCATGCTTTGCGCTCCGGTCATGTGTTCTTTCAACTGCGGGTGCACCAATTCCGCACGGTGGTGCACACCACGGGCGCCCCTTACGCCATCGCACGGCAACAACCACGGCACGCCGTTTCCGGTCGGTCGGAAACCGCTCGTCTTTCTCCGCACCTTGCGGCTGTCAGACCTCTCCAGGAACAGGAACGCATGCCTCGCTGGCCGCGACTCGGACGTGGCCGCGACTCGGCCGTGGTCGGCGATGGACGCGGGATGAAGAAGGTGGGCGATGGACGCGGGACGAGTCATGGAGAACATTTAAAGATCCTTTTAGAGCTTCTCAAAGAAATAAAGATATTACAATCATGAGTCAGCTATAGTTTAGTAGCAATCCCTGTTTTTAGACTGTTAGTCAGTGTAGTGATAACTGGAACCACTGGCCAGTATTGAAGAAAAGACCTGCATGGTCCATGATGGACATGATCGGGTGCTGGTGCGAAACGTGAGCAACTAAAGGCCACGTGTCACACGGCAACAGGCAACTTGAGGCCGAGGGTAGGTGACGAAAGCTAGCAGGGGTGCATAAGAGATGCCCGAGAGGTGTCCCAGAGGCGTCCGAGGGGGGGAGTTGAACCATAGCATGTAGGAACCCAGAGCATCCAGGCAAACCACTATAGCTGGTAACCAGTGGCTCCGAAGACTAAAACCATAGACCAAACGAATCCCTGGTTCCTTATATAGTGGTAACTGGGATCCACTGGGTATAAGGTAGACCCTTGATGAATCACACAATCTATCGAACACAAAGCTTCACACGACCCTTCAAAACCAAATCCCATCACTCATGCATGTATAGTATGTGACAGTAAAGTGATGGACTCTTATAGGTTATAAGTATAAACATTATTGAAATAATAACCTCTTTACCTTGTCACTATGCGCGGTTTGTGCAGCTTGTGGTGACTGATCTCCGAATTCCCCAAAGCTCCAAAACGGAAACACCATGTAGCAGGAACTCACCTCACTTTTGACCTAAATCCGCAACCCCTCACAAAAGGGGTGACCGGTTGCACCGCCCAACTCGGAGGCCACCAAACCACCTTCAGCATCGAGGCCCGTTCTTTCCCCTTCTCTCGGCCCACGCGAGCTCTCGGACCTGCTGACTCAGCCGAGGCACGTTCCAAAGTTGGGCCTAGCAAGCTCGCCACTCCGCACTCCGCTGGGGGGGTTGGAGTGCGGAGGTCCGCACTGTTGAAGGGGAGAAATCATACATCCCGCAAAAAAGATCGACACCCCGTGGGTGAACGTCTCGAGCTCGTAGCCAGAGATTCTTGGAAAAAGGTGATCCGAACTTTCCACGGACCGAACTTGTGTATGTGTGGCCAAGCAGAAATGACCCGAATATCACCAAAAAGGTTATCCAGGTTATCCACTGAGCAAAGAATCTTGATTAAGAATCATTAACTGAATCCCCTAATCTGAAGAAGCTTGACTATATCACCCAGACACTCCATAGGACGGCCATATATGCATACATTGACCCCCAGTCAACCACCCCTGCCCGTTTCTCGGCAGTCCTATGGCAGTCCCAAACAGCTCGTGTCTGGGTCATATATCCATGTCTGGCGGGTCGGAGATGAACATGTTCCAGTTCCATGGATCTCTCTTCCGTCATGGCGAAGTCGCGCAGTCCGAACCGTTTGGACGGGACACATGCTCACCAGCTGCAAGGAGCCACCAATGTACCTGGCGAAGTCGGACCATTCCCCCCAAGCCAAGCCACCGCCTTCGTGTCGTTTCGGTGGGACTGGGTGCCATGTTCGGGTCCAGTCATACCGAACCTGAGGTACGACAGGCGCCCAAACGGGTCAATGTTTAGGACTCACCAAGCTGCTAAGCTGCATGCAGCCAAGCGAGGGCAAAAGCTGATCCGAACGCTGCAGAAGGGGTGCGTGATCCGAACCCATCTGCATCCAAATAGGGTGCATGAGGCATCCAACAACCAACAAAGGTTGAAGAACCCCAAAAAGACTATCCCAGTTCGGTACCCCAGGTTACGGCCCTATTTACGGTCACTTTATAATCTCTCTTGGAAGCACTGCGAAAGGTACAAGAAAATCGTCTCGCGCAGCGGGGGCTGTTTCACTTTCTTGGCAGCCAAAGGTTACCGTCTATAGTACGAATTGCCTGGATGGGAGTTCAAGTTAGCTAAAGGCTTCTGGCTTCTGGGTGCTAGCAACCCCAACAAGGAAAGGCCAATCAAAGTTGACTGTCGATGATGAGGACTTGCGTGACTCTCTGTGTTTGTTACTTGTTCATCGCCCTGCCGCTGGATTCGATTCCGCGCCGCTCATCGGTGCCAACCACACAAGTTGACTAATCCAGCACCACCCAGTTTGGGTGGTTCATAGACAGCCCTGAAGATGCATTTTCCATCCAATTACAATCCTTTGGGTGGTGCAGGATCAAACACTTACCAGCAGTCACAAAGGGGTGCCGAACTTAGAGGTTAGGGGTGCCCACCACTCACTGGATGGGACTAGTGACTATAAACACCACCCCTTTGTGACTCCTGGTAAATTGAAATCAACCCAACCTTTCCCCCACCCCAAAACTCGCATCCCCTGCCTCCTCAGCTTGTTTCTGACCCAACCGTTCACTCCGCCGGTTTCAACCAACCCGAGCGCGCACGCACCGAAAATGTCTCCGGCGCACTCGGCATAGAGCCGGGACAAAGGCAAGCCCACACCGAAGCCCGCCAAGGGCGTGGCCTAGCGAGGCCGTGGCGAGGCCACGACACCCAGTTCGGGCCGGTCGGAAGGTGCCGAACGCTTCGACACCACGGTGAGGTTCAACCACGGGACCCGCGGGACCCGCGGCAACTAAGAGGGACACACATGGACCGTGGCAACGATGCTCGCAGAGCGAAGCTGGCACATCGGATCCGAAGAGGACGATTGCAAAGTTCCAAGAAACATCTTCGAGGTATCAGCTGGCAGAGTCGCATCTGACTCCAAAATGGTGTGGGAACCACTGAAACTATATGAATGTAACGGTGAGTCGAGCAACAAACGTGCCATTGGAGATGTACTGTAACTAGGAATCGAATAGCTTGAATCTGCTTAAGGAACCTGGAAATAGTCAGACATACAAAAACATATAAACACATATTCCCCAGAAGGGGATTGCAGATTACCGATAGGGAAAAACATCCCCTGATCAGCAACACCAGGATTGGCTTTGATTTACATCATTTCAGATCTATCCAACCTCAAGAAAAACACATTCTCAAATCGTGGCCAGCTAAGCAGGCGACAGGACGCCTGGTCTGCGCCAAGCAGCAGGAGACAATTCTCAACTCATGGCGTTGGATCAGTAATTTAATGAACTACCAGGCCCCCTAGGGGTGATGAATGGATGGGGCCCTGGTATATTTTATGATATTTATATGTATAGCAAGCTCCATTGGTAGTCTGCCCTTTGGAGTGTCCATGCCACCGAAACACAGCCTCTGCAGCCACCGAAACGGGTGAAACGCGTGACCGAACACCCAAATCAAATCTCCGCAGATGGGAGACAGGTAGTAGCTCTATGCCGGCCACGAACAGATTACAAGACATCCATCCAGCTAGCTCACCTGGATCGCCGAGCTCTAATGGAATGGAATCAATCCAACTGCACCCGTTTGGGCTCCTGGCCCACCTCCTGAGAAGATGGTTGGGGTGGGTGGTTTGGGGGGGTCTAGCCACCGAACCTGAGGATATAGTTGGAGCCCTAGGGGTAACAGACTAACTGCCTCCCTATATAATGCTGAACCTGCATCCCCAAGTGTATATATGCACATGTCACATGGGTGTTGGTCCAAACCCAAACCCCCCCCACCCCCCCCCGAAACCCTGCGTCCGGTGGACTTGTCTCGAAGTATCTTCAGTTCATGTCCGGGAAGAAGCACCATCAGGACCCCTTGTTTGGACCCGACTCCTGACCTCACATGTTCGCAGCTTCCGCAGCTTCCGACCCGTCCGCACCTCCGATGCTTCGCTGTCCACCGCCCCGCGGGTGCCCCTGCAGCGGAGGCTGGGTATAACCCCAGCTCTGCTGGAACTGGGGAAGCCAGCAGAAGTCGTTGCTATCTTCTGAGTCAGTCAATGCTCTCTTCTGTGCCGATCCCTAAGGCATCCCAACTCCACTGAGCACTCTGAGCTTCGTTCAACACCGTTTGCCACGAAGTGCTGTAAAAAGCGCTGCCTCCGGGTGGAGTACATGTAGCTCCAGACCTTCTGCTGGAGCCTCAGCACGGGGCAACTGGGGTTCTCCCAGCCGAAATGACCCATACACTCCATGTATATGCTTACATTGACCCCCAAAACCTCCCCAATGTAGGCATATATGGCAGTCCCATGGAGCGTTTGGGTTATTGTCTTGAGGTGTATGCACTGACTCACCAACATGGAAGTGGAGCCCCCCGCTGTCTTTCGGGGAAGTCGTCTTCCAAGGGACCGTTCTAATCCCTTCTCCATTGCCATGCTAATGAGTCAGAGTGTGCTTAATACCTGAAGTACCTGAAGGTGTATAATCTGCATCCGCAGGTATATATATATATAATATATATTATATAAACCTCATTTCAATGTGTTTTCCCGTGACCCGGAGTCACTTGAGAACCTCTGGAGAATCTCCCTGTGCCGAACTGGAACCGGCTCGATCGATGCGGGATCTTGCTGACATCTGATGCACCAGAAGGTGGTATAAGACCACCTAGGGGCCACCTTACCACCATCTTGCACATCTGACCACATCTTACCACCCCTCCAACCATATCCTCCTGCAGGTGGTTGGAGCCCTAGGGGCTGCAATTGCGACCCACATGGTGTGCGCGTCTTTAGTATAAGATTGCCCGGGGTTCCTGAGAACCGGATCCAGGGAATGTCGGGTGCTGTGGTTGATGACACGTCACGTGGCTGTGGGCATATCCCTGGTATGCTGTTCTATATGTGGGGCATACCCCATTACAATGGTAACAGTGGACTGGGCGATCATGATTAGAAAAGGCCTTGGCCATAAACCGACATCACTAAAAAGTCATGGTCATATGTGTGATGATCTATCAGCGTAGCAGCAACAATCGGCTTGTATACTGCATCCATACCCCGAATCACCTCCAAGGGGCTGTTGTTATTAGGCACCCCTTAGGCTAAGGGGGCGCTGGTATACTGACCAAACACTTCGCTCAAACTACAAATTGATTCAACACAATGGGTCCGCGCCGGGTTTGCCGTTCTTCTCGCCGCTCTGTTTTGGCGCAGGCTGCCAGTCCCGAGGATAAGCGGGATGGAGATCTAGAATTTAATGCATTGATCATAAGTGTTGCGTTCCCTTAGTGCCCTCATCTGAAGTCTCTAGTACACGACCTGGACTAAGAGATACTAAGAGACTCTTCACTAAAAAATTCAGGATCCCAGATTGGTCTCTCTCTTTTTAAGTTGTGCGTCTTTTTGGCCGTGTGTTTTTGTGCGTTCAAATGCCTCGGCGTCTAGGGTCGAGCTCCGTGGTGCTGGAACAGATTGCCGTTTAAAAGGTCTTTATGGCCCAATTGAACTTGCATGTGCTGCATCTTTGTCAGCTCCAGCCTCACGCAACAATCGCACAACTTCCAAGTGGCCATTCTTGGCTGCAATGTGCAAAGCCGTCCGGCCATCTGTATCTGCCGCATCTTTGTCAGCTCCAGACTCCAGCAACAATCGCACAATTTCCAAGTGGCCTTCCTGGGCTGCAATGTACAAAGCCGTCCAGCCATCTGTATCCGCCGCATCTGTGTCAGCTCCAGACTCGACCAACAATTGCACAACTTCCAAGTGACCCCTCAGCCCGGCAATATGCACAGCCGTTGACCCAGATTCAGTTGCTGCGTCTTTGTCAGCTCCAGACTCGAGCAACAATCGCACAACTTCCAAGTG